ACTTCAACCCCTGGTACCAAAGAAAAGAAAAGAAAAGAAAGAAATACATGGGTAGGCTCAGAACTCTTGTTCACTGACCTCTTTTCCTTAAATTGGAAAAGAACTAAATGCATTGAATAATCACAAAATTCATACATAACAAGAAACACAAAGAATGCATCTGTAAATAACATTATTAGGAACACTTTGACAAGCTCTACAGTGTTTCTCATGGAGCCTCCTTCAGGACCTGTGCACAGTGCGAGCCCAGGTGCCAATGGCACACAGATCACCCTGTGAAGGACCAGCTTCCCAGGCTGGTCTTTGTTATGCAGCCCTCCTAATTCAGCCTCCCAATCTACTAGGATCACAAATGTGCACCACCACACCTGGCTAGTAAATCCTAGTTTTTCTCAATTTTAATTTGCAATATTGTAAATGATTTATACAATCCAGATAGACACAGATTGAGATCTTTGAGATCCTCCATTGCAAAGGGAGTAATAGGCTCCTCACCAAAGTGTTGAGAGTCTGAATTATTTCATTCCCTTTAAAGTGCAGTTGGAGAAGCTGTGATAGGGACTGGCTGGACGACTCAATCTGAGTCCAAAAACCTAGTCACTTTTGATGACCCCAGAAAAACCTATTTTACAAATGAAATAAATTTTTTTATTTTACTGAATATTAATAGAATATTATTGCTAGCTATACTGAGGCTCTTATGACTTTTTTAATCCTCCTAAAAACTGCATGGTGACTCTTACCAAACTGTACTCTGTGAGCCGGTTTCTTTGAGGAACATGGAGAGTGTTCCTTGGGAATCAGTTACATCTTGGGTAAGTTAACCATCTTTTCTCCAGTTCCAGTTTTTTTTTTGGTCATTGCATTCCATAGAGTCTCAGTAAAGGAACACCAGTAATATCAGGAAGTTTTCACTTCAAAATAAGGACTGTGTCTGCAATGCCTGTTTATACCACCATGCACACACAACGCTCCCTCTATGTAATCTATAAAATCTGTGCATGCTTGGAAGCTTGGCATATTGATGTCTAGGTTACCCTTCACTGATTCCCTGAGAAGCTGTGAGGCTATTCTGAGAGATCTGAGTCATGTTCTAAAAACACAATTGATTTCAGACAATTTTTTCAGCTTAGCTAAATTCTAAATTTACCTTTGGATTTAAATGCAGCACAATATCATTATTTTGACATATGCAATGTAATTCCTCTAGTTTTCCAAGAATGACCTTCCTTGATGGTACAAAATCTTTTAAAAGAAGCAAGTAACTAATGTCCTGTTCCACACCAGCATAAACATAGAAATCATGCAGCACTTGGAATAAATAGAAACTGTTTTCCATAGCATCGTGGTGAGGTAAGCTCCTGTTGCAGCCTTCCACAGGGCAAGAGTCTGACTGCAGAGACTAGCTTGAAGCCATCCTCTCCTAACTCTCCCTTTGCGAAAGACCATGCAGAGGCCAAGAAGACAGGAGACAGTGGGAGAGGAGCACAGCCCAGCACAGGACCGGGCCCGGGCAGGCCCTGCTCCACACCGGGGCAGTGGCAACAGCTGCACACAAGTTATGTTTGCCAAACATAGACCTGTGCCTCTAAAGGGAGTAGGTCATGGTAACTAAACACACTTCAAAAAATCCACAGGAAAATAGAGGAAAGCATACCAAACCATTAACTAAGGAAGATGTAAGTATTTCTTAGAGTGAATACATAATAGGTCTGTGTTGGGAGGAAGGAAGAAAAGGAGGAAGAGGGAGAGAAGGCTGACAGGACCTGACTGCACCTGCAATGCATGAATGGCAGAAAAAGGAGTCACAATCACAGTCGTCTTCTTTCACTTCTCCACCCACTGGGAAAAGACAGGCTATGAGAGATTTCCGAATGGTCCTTAAAGGGAAGGACCACCTTCTGTCCTCTCTTTTTCCTTCTTCTTGCTGGTTAGAATGAGGTGCAATGACCGGAGCTCTGGCAGCCACCAGGAAACAAAAGGTTATATCAACAAGGAAACAGCACAGCAGAAGAGAAAGAAGTGTGCTCCTCTGGATGTCTCAACCCCGTTCAACCTGAGCTGCCTATCCCAGGTTTCTTTGCAGCCAAGCACTTGCTCTCCATCCATCACTCTAGAGAACAGAGACAGCACGGAAACCTGCACATGAAGGGTAACAGAAGTGTTGCTCATAACATTACAATACACCCCTCCTCAGGTGGATGGTTAAGTGAACTAGGGCAAAGCCACACCGTGAAGTAAACAGACCACTGGTACAGTTGACCACCGAATAGCTCTGAGCCCCGCTGAGTGGAAAAGATCCCATGATCAATCATTGCTTAGTACCAAGTTTTCAACACACAAGCTTTTTTATTTTTATATTTTTTAGTTGTGGTTGACACAATACCTTTATTTATTTATTTTTTTTATATGGTGCTGAGGATCGAACCCAGGGCCTCGCACATGCTAGGCGAGCACTCTACTGCTGAGCCACATCCCCAGCCCCAATACACAAGCTTTTGGGGGATGTTCCAGATCCAAAACATAAACGACCCTCTTTTTTCTAGAAGAATTTTCTCTTACCCAATTGTCAACTCATAAAAAGTACAAGAAAAAAGGTATGTTTGAGAGGGAACTTGAATGTGCGTATAAGATTTGGCACACAAAGGAGAACAGAAAGAGGCTACACAGGGCAGCAGGGTGTTGTATAAAATGCCAAGTGTTCTTCATCCATTTGAACCCAGATATGGGCTGAGTGTTTTAATCTGTTGGTTAGGAGTTACATCCCCTTCTGTAAAAATTGCAATAATCCTCTGATGGACTCCGATAGCTTTGTAAACACCATAAGTTACCACTATCAGCATCTTTTCAGTCCAGGTCCCAGACAGGAAAACAAATGATTCAAAGTACTTTAACAGACATCATCTGGGGGCGGGAATATTTACACAGGTGTCCAAGAGCCAAAACAGAAGGTGTGATTACAAGGGAAACTCCTTCATGGGGAGTAGTCACCAATCCTAGTGCTGGTGGCTGGATTGTATTATCAGGGCTCAAACATGTATCGCTGGGGTGCAAACAAGGAAGGAAAGAGGCTGTTCTAACTGGCTCTGGATTCTGTGAGGGAGAGAGCCATTTCCCTGGATTCCAGAAGCATAAGAGAAATGAGCAACTATAGCTTTCCTCTGTTCTGCCTTCTGAGTTCCTGTGTTCTCTGGGAAGATGCTTCCTGGAGGCCAAATGACAAGATGGCTGCAAAATGCAGTTTGGAGACTCCTGGCCTAACCACCATCTCAGCAGGATGTAGGTGACCATGGGGCACAGCCCACAAGTGAGTAGCCCACGCAGCATCTCAGGCATGGTTCTCCATTAGACAGTAAACACTATAAAGAGAAAGTGAGCTATATGGTCTTTAATCTTCAATAGATTTCATATTGTCTAGGGTTTGTGTAAAGTGCTCAGTATCAATAAATATCTGAATAAATGCGTATTCCCACCATTGATAAATACTTCAAATCAGTATCCAACTTAAACAACTGGCAGGTACTAAGAACTTATTTGTAAAGAAACACTTTAAAGCTGGGTGTAGTACTGCATGCCTGCAACTCCAGTGACTCAGGAGGCTGAGGCAGGAAGAACGCATATTTGAGACCAGCCTTAGCTACTTAGGCCCTAAGCAATTCAGTGAGACTCCGTCTCTGAATTAAAATAAAAAAGTGTTGGTGATGTGGCTCAGTGGTTAAGTGCCTCTGGGTTCAATCCCTGGTACTTCTCCCCAAACAAAAGCACTTTCGCGCCCCCCCCCCCCACCCTGTTTGTCCCCTTGAATGAGTATCTTTTTCCTAAATAAACCTCTGCCTGTGCCTTCACATGGTGCCCACTGAGGTTCTTTTCTATCACCTATGCTAAGATCCAACTCCCCCCTCCCCCAGTCGAATTCCCCAGCTCCTCTGGGAATGCCTCAGACCCTTCTCTGGAGACATCTTTTCTCCCATGACATCTCTTGGTGGCCTTTTTGTCTCTTCTAGATTACAATTTCATGTTAAAAAGCATGGCCGTGTAAGAATTCTAACCCATTCTCACAGCCATTTCCTGTAGGTCAGTCAGGTTGAGACTACTAATCCGGAAGGGACAAGGTCATTGCTCCTTGCCACCCTGAAGCAGCCATAGAAGTCAAATCTTCACCCTTCACCAAACCTTTGTGAGGATGATGAGATGGCGATTTAGGTAAAGAGATATACTGTGTCTCAAAGGAAACACCCCTGAGCCTCTGAGATGCAGAAAACACTCAGGAGGCCTTGCAACTGATGAGTGACAGGCCCCAAGTCCCCCTGTGGCTCCACCTCCAGTCTGGCCCCTGACTACTGCCCCTCTAAATACTGGAACCCAACTCAAGGAGGGGCATCTCATTCTGGAGATAGCCTGCATCCTCCCTTTTATGTGTCTCTACTTCCTAAATAAGTCTCTGAGCAAAACGCTTTAGCATATATGGTCAGTAGGCCTGTAAGTGCAGGTCGCTGTGTGTCAAGCAATTTTTCAAGCCTTTCGCTTGAAACTGCTTTTCATTGCAGTTGAACAATACACAACAGGTTTTCCAGTCTGTGCACCACGGGCTGCTTATTCGTTCCCTTCTCCCCACTGCAGGCCTAACCCTGCTGCTCCAGGAGAGCAGGCCGAGGCCGCTCCCGACTCCGGGGCCCACTCCCGGCGTCCGGCGGAGGCGGAGCTGCAGGGCTCGCAGCGCGGGCTGCTGGAGCTAGTACGCCCTCCACCCAGGGAGACTTGAGTGTGCGCTGTGGGAAACGCCAGTTAACCGGTAAGGTACCCAGAGCTCAGAACCACCGAACCAGGCGAAACGACGCTGGCGCCCCGCAGCAGGCGAGCGCCCCGCTCGCCGCTCTCAGCCACTTCCGGAGCGCGGCGTCCCTCCTGGGCCCCGGAGGAAGGGTCCAATCGCGGCGTCCTGGAGGCGGGACTTCCGGTAGGACTGAGCCAGTGCGGGCCGTGCCGGAAGTCGGTCCTGAGTGGCGAACGGCGGGGCCGGGTGGAGCGGAGCTCCTGGCGAACGTCGTGTCCCGCGGTCTGGGGCGGCCTGCTGGGCGGGGCCTGGTTTCCGCGAGAGACGAGGGCCGGGTGCTGTGAACCGCTGGGACATGGACAGTCGCCTGCAGGAGATCCGGGAGCGACAGAAGTTGCGGCGGCAGCTCCTCGCGCAGCAGGTCCGCGGAGGCCGGGGCTGGGGCCCGGGACGCGGTGCCGGGCGGCCCACGGCGGGCGGCGCGGCGCCGCCGGGGTGGCTTAGGCCGGCGGGTGGCTCCCTCCCTTCCCACGGTTTCGGCGGTCGGTGCCTTGCCCTCGCGGCCAGCACCGAGTTCTCGAGCTCAGCGTGGACTGCATTTGCAGAACCTGCTGGGGACCTAGCGCCGCGCGGGAAGGAGGCCGGTGCGGATTCCGTCAGCACGCGTGCGGGTCACCACGGCGAATGTGTGAATTGTTAGGCCACACGACCCCGACATGGGTAGAGGTCCTGCATCATCAGATGGGGTTCGGAGGTCGAGTGACCCTGGCCTCGCCAGGAAATTGAGCCCAGTTTGTCTCTCCAAAGCTTTTCTGCTAACCCCGCGTCTTAGCTGCTGCTTCTTCGTGCATCAGTTAATGCTTGCAGCTATCAGAGAGTAGACTTCAGTTCTGCCGCTCAGGTCAATGACAGTGAAGGGGACAGCACACGGGCTTCGGGCTTTTTTTTTCAGCATTAAATCTAGTTTTAGTGAATGTTAGCCTGAAACCTCTTCTCCTTTATGATCTGATGAATTGATTTGTGGTATCCTGTTAAAATGTGGGAATTGAATCCGATCTGTTCCTTGTCTCTCTTTCATAAAGAGCTGGGACAAATCCAGGTGTCTAAGTTGTCCTGGTTCCACCTTCTTTTATTATGTTTTCAGAAATGTTCAGTGGCTCTTGTTGCCAGGAAGAAAGGTGTTTTAACTTTAATTATGATTCAAACATATTTAACTCAAAATACATTCACAGAAGAGTTATTAGTTGATTGCCTTACAGTCAGTAGATACAAGGGACTCTAGTGGGTGTTGGCAGATGAACTGTGAATAATGTAAGTAGCTCCCACCCTCAAAGAGCTTACAAAGTGTATAAAATTTAATAATGGCTGCCATTTATTAATTACTTTCTGTATGTCATGATTTGCTAAGCTTTTAACACTCATTGTCTTTGATCCTGCAAATAAAATGCTCTCAGTATTTTGTAGGTGAAAAAGATGTACTTAAAGAATTTAAGTTATGGGGCTGGGACTGTAGATGAGTGGTAGAGTGCCTGCCTCGTGCATGTGAGGCACTGGGTTTGAGTCTCAGCACCACATAAAAATAAATAAAGATTCGAAAAAAAAGAATTAAAAAACATTAGTTCATATGCCCAAGGCCACAAAACTAGTAAGTTTGTGAGCTGCAGTTTTAGCATAGGCTTTTACACCTAATACACTTCGCTGCCCTGAGTTTTCAGATGGATGTAAGTTAGAATGCCTGATGCAGTTAGTGACAGACACCTCATTCACTCTGTGAAAAAGGCAAACGGTGAAGTAGTCTCCAGAACATAGTTTATACAGTATAGGTTTTGATTTTTAAAATTTGAATTCTGTCTGTCCTCCTGGCACAGCTCAGAATTTAGTGATGAAATCTGTACTGATTTCCTTGGTCTAGGCTCTTCCTTTCAGACATTCTTGACCTTATTACTTAATCTGATACTGTATATTGCTTGTTTATACCGTACTCACACTGTCCTGTGCACTCACAGATAAGCAGAGTATACATGCGAAGTATTTGACTTCTACTCTAGCGTTGATGGTTGCACATAGTAAGCCTTTAACAAACCTTTGTTTTTGATGAACCAAAGGAGTAGAACCCAGGTCAGTGTAGTCTGTGGAATGAAGACATGCTTGTAGTAAGTAAATAGGCCTAGACCATGGTGGTGACTGTCGATGCTACAAGCAACAGTTTACACCTGTCTTTTATTTTAACTTCTGCCTTTGTTTCAGAGAACGTGTATGTCTATAAAAGATAACAAATTATCAGAGATTACTCCAGTAATATCCTTAGTACCAGCAATATACTTGGGAGTAACCCCATTAGTGCAATAATATGCTTATTTGAAAATTCATGAAAAATGAGTGACTTGGTGTAGTCATTCTACAATTTAAAAAAAGTTTGAATGTGAGAAGACAATAGAAGCAGAATTTTGATATAAGGCATTTCTCTTGTAAAGCATTATATCCTCATTTAGACCCCAATAGACAGTCTCATTCCTTTATTTATATATTTATTGAGCAGCTACTGTGAGGAAGTATTCCAATTATAGGAAGTAGATATGCTGTCTCCTGACTAAAAAGAAAAGGAGCCAGGAAGATTTTATTGGAGGAGCTGAAATTTTATGAACAGTTGATAAGATTGGAAGAGATGATGCTGCTGATGCTGATGATTTTGGTATCAGGGATTAAACTTAGGGACACTCAAGCACTGAGCCACATCCCTAGCCCTATTTTGTGTTTTATTTAGAGACAGGGTCTTGCTGAGTTGCTTAGTGCCTTGCTTTTGCTGAAGCTGGTTTTGAACTCACGATCCTCCTGTCTCAGCCTCCCAAGCCGCTGGGATTACAGGTGTGCACCATCATGCCCATCCTGGAAGAGATTTATCATTGGAGAAACTTGAGGGGCACCGTGCGAAGTGGGTGGACTAGAAGGAGAGTGGGTGGCTGTTTAAAGGCCAGTAACTTGCTGCTCTGATAAGCCTCCTCTCAAGGGACTATTCAGTGCAGATTTTCTCATGCCCTTCTTGTGCGTAAATGTGTAAGTGGCTACACCTTGGTTTGGCTTTCAGTTTATGTGAATTGGGCCTGTTTGACTTGTCCAGCCTGTGTTTACATTTGTTGCCACATTTAATTACACAGTTTTCCCAGTTGCCTACCAAAATCAACATAACCATGTTTAAGGTACTAGTAAAATTCACTATTGTGCCTATAATCAAAAAGCCTAAATAAAACTGGGTGGATTTTTGTTAGATAATAGAATAAATAGGTACAATATGTGAACTGATTCATAAAAAATATCTTATATAAAATCTACATTAACTACTCTTTCTGGTTATTACTACTACTACTACTACTACTACTACACTTTTATGTACTTTCAAAGCAGGAGGTTGGCTAAAGTTGTGCCTCAATTTCCAATATAACTGAAAGCCTAATAAAAAACTTTTCTAGCTGCCAGAGTCAATCTTAACTAACATGGTTTTGTTATAGAGTATTTCCAGTTTGTCTTGTCAGCTAATCCAATTCTTTGAAGTGTGAGTTGTGGTTTTTTTTCACTCATTTGTTTTTTAAATGTTTGATACATTACATTCTGCTACAAATGCCAGGAAGCGCTGTCCAGTGAATTGTGATTTGACTTGTTTTTTGCCATTCCTTAGTTGGGAGCTGAGAGCGCCGACAGCATTGGTGCTGTGTTGAACAGCAAAGATGAGCAGAGAGAAATTGCAGAAACGAGGGAGACTTGCAGGTCAGCCAGATCATCTTTTCTCATAACATGTTACTATTGTACTAGGATCTTTGTTTTAATAAACAACCCTAGGTCTGAATGTGTTATGAAAAATATCAAAATAAAGTTCTTTAGAAACATTGGTTTATATTGTCAGTTCATGACTTAAAAGATATTTATTTTTGACTATATTAAGTGCCCATTTATAAGTAGTTAGAAAATGGAATGTTAGACTAGAATTGGCTTATATATCTGATATATTTTCAATTATAATTTTTATACATTTATAAAAAATATACTTGGCCCTCAAAATGTATACACTGATAGTTTAGAAAGCATTTCAGAATTTTTTAAGTATTCTAGTTTATAAGAGTTTATTTTCTTATTTGGTTCCTTTCTCATAAAGTACAGAATTGTCATTGCATCAGTTTCTTGGATGATTTATAAACTGGGTAAAGAGATACTGTTTCACCAGGAAAGTTTTGCCTATACAAGCTATTTAATATTTCCAGTAGACAGTATGCATCTTCTGTGTATTTGTGTGTGATTCTTTGTTTTAATTTTCAGGGCTTCCTATGACACCTCTGCTCCAAATGCAAAGCGTAAGTGTCTGGATGAAGGAGAGACAGATGAAGATAAAGTAGAAGAATATAAGGCAAGTGGAGAATGGGGTGATTTTTATAGTCTAGAAAAAATAAATTCTTATAATCATAAGTTGACATCCAAGAAAACAAATTTGATAGAAAGCTGAGTTCTAAGGTGTGTTAAAATAGTTGTCAGTAGCAGAGACCATCGGTTAGATTATGACCTTTATGAACATTCCCTTATTTTAATGTAAGGGTTGTGCTTACCACACACTGGCCGTGATGTTTGTTATAAGAGGAAAGAGATATGTGTACCTTCTGGTGTGCACTTTTGTTGTTTGGAATTCCAAGAGACTGTAGCAGTCTTTGTGGGGGGGGGGTACTTGGGATTGAACTCAGGGGCACTCAACCACTGAGCCACACCCCTAGCCCTATTTTGTATTTTATTAGAGGCAGGGTCTTACTGAGTTGCTTAGTGCCTGGATAAATTGCTGAGGCTGGCTTTGAAGCCACTATCCTCCTGCCTCCGCCTCTCAAGCCACTGGGATTATAGGCGTGGGCCCAGTTGCAGGAGTCTTTTTTGAGTTGCATTATTTTGTGTAACAATGTAGGCTAGGTAGGATAATTAGAATATTCTGAGAACTCATGGGCTAGAGAGCAGTGTAGAACCATTTCTGAAATCAACCGAAGAAAAACCCAACTTCTATACTTATAATTGCGTTATTTAGTTAAAAAGAAAGTATTATGGAAGAAAAGCCTACATTCTTTTTTTTTCTTTTCAAAATAATCATAGTTTCAGTAAATCTCTATGATGATATAATTCCTGATCTCATGAATATGGTCTTTTGTTTTATACTTTGATATGTGCTTATATATAACTTAAATATTTGTGATTATATTAGGTTGAGTCATGTCAATTTCTAATATTCTAACATTTTTGACCTATAAAATGTGCAGTTTCATATGGTTCAATCTAATAAAAACAAAATTTCATGATTCAAGCTAAATGCTAACATTACAGTAAATTATAGAGATAAATAATTCTAGACAATTCAGTCAACCAAACACTAGTAGTTATAGATAATTATTATTCATGATAATGATAAGGAAATTTTGTTTTATTATAAAAATAATCAACTAGTTATTTTTAAAAGATTTTTTCCTTTATTTTTAATTGTGTCTTGTAAAAAGGTTAGGTCAAGATAATTACCACATCCACCATCTCTCAAACTTATTTACTAGTTAGATCTAGTGATGAAAAAGCAAAGACTTAAATGTTTCACTTTAATGCCAATATGAAATATTATGATAATTGAAAAAGTAGCCTATGTATACATGTTTCTTTAATCTTCATTTTTCAAGGATGAACTAGAAATGCAACAGGAAGAAGAAAATTTGCCGTATGAAGAAGAGATTTATAAAGATTCTAGTACCTTTCTTAAGGTAAATAAAACAAGTAATTTACAAATCTTGTAACTTTTCACATTTAAGCTCTGTGCCTCAAAGATTCCCCCCCACCTTTTTTTTTTTAAAAAAAAAATCATACTGGGATCAAATTCTGGGGCTCTTTACCACTGGGCTAACCCCACAACCCTTTTTGTTTTTTGTTCTGAGACATGGTCTTAAGTCCTTGAACTTGGTATCCTTAAATTGCTGGGTTCACAGGCATGTGCATGTCTAGCCATGCTGGAAAAGATTTTAAGTACTTATTTTTCTTCAGGATTTTAAGTACCTATTTTTCTTCAGGATTTTTTCAGTTATTGAGGGATCATTATTATAAAATATTTTATAATCATTATAAAATATTATATAAAATAATATTTAAATTATTTATGAAATATTCTTATATTTGGCTATTTCAGATGAGACAATGGTATATTCACACCAGTAGTTGATGAAAAGTCATGCTGTCATTTTAGTGGTATTATCAAATATACAACTTTTAAAATCATATTTTGTTTGGCTTTCTAAGAAAAGACACAGTATGAAGTTATTGTATCCAAATCAGAGTGCATGCTGTTAACTTTGACTTTCTCTTTAGGGAACACAGAGCTTAAATCCCCATAATGATTACTGCCAGCATTTTGTAGACACTGGACATAGACCTCAGAATTTCATCAGGGATGTAGGTATGTCAGATTTATTTGGATTATGCTATTGCTATTATATGCATGTGTTTTTCAGTTTTGTAGATGATTTGTAAAAAAAAAAAAAAAAAATCATTTTTTTCAGCTTGACTTCCTTTTTGTGTTCTGAGTGCTTTTAGTACACCTTTCTTTTTCATCAGCAAGATTACTTTTTGGGTATAATTTCTATACGATATAGTTCACCCACATTTTAGGGGTATAATTCAGTGTTTAGTATGTCCATAGCAAGTTGTCAACTATTATCAGTCTAATTCACAACATCTTCACCTCCCCTGAGGAAGGAAGCCCTGTACTGTACATTAGTAGACAGTCCACACTTCCTCTCATCTACCCCCAGGCTTACATGACCATTAATTTACTTTCTTTCTGTATAAATTTGCCTTTTCAGGACCTTTCATATAATTGGGATCATATAGTAGGTAGTCTCTTGTTACTGGCATCTTTTACTTAACATATTTCCAAGGGCGATTATATCAGTCCATCATTTGTTTTTATTACCAAATAATATTCCCTTTGTGTGTGAGTAAGTGTGTGTGTGTGTGTGTGTGTGTGTACACACACCATATTTTGTTTATCCATTTGTTTCGTTTTGTACTTTGGTCTATTAGGCCGAATGCTGTTATGAATAGTTATATAAAAGTTTTTATGTGGATGTATGTTTTTGTTTTTCTTTGGTATATACCAAGGAATAGAATTGCTGGATCTTATAATTCTTTTTCTTTTTTCAACAAAAATTTTTGACTTTTTTATTTTTATTTTTTTAAATGTGGTAATTCTGTATTTCACTTCCTGAGGACCCACTCCAGTGTTTTTCATGATGGCTCCACCATTTTACATTCCCACCGTCAGAGTGGAAAGGTCTCAGGCTCTTCATATCTGGACACTTGTCTGAGATTTTGATCACAGCTGTCTTAGTGGGTGTTGAGTGGTATGCCCTTGTGGTTTTGATTTGCATTTTTCCTAGTGACTGATAATGTTTAGTATCTTTTCATAGGCATATTTACTATTTCAATATCTTCTTTGGAGAAATATCTGTTTGGACATTTCTCAGTAAATCTTTAGTCCAAAATTTGTTTTACTGCTATAAAAAATTTATTTTCTCAAATTTAAAAAAATGATTTAAGACAGTTGGTAACATTTGGGGAGTAAATACCAATTTAGCTCCCTACAATATTAACAAATGCAAATGAATCAGAGGGCTAAAAATACTACAATGTGAAATTATTAGAATATATTTACTTTGTTGAAGAAATGAAAGCATTCTTTAAGAAAAACAGTAGTTATTAAGAGAATAAATACAAATTTAATATTCTACTAAAAAACTGAAAGCTGGGAGAAGTGGCACACACCTATAATCCCAGTAGCTCAGAAAGCTGAGGCAGGAGGATCACGAGTTTAAAGCCAGTCTCAGCAACTTGGTGAGGCACTAAGCAATTTTATTGAGATCCTACCTCAAAATAAAAAAAATAAAATAAAAAGGGCTGGAGATGTGGCTCAGTTGTTAAGCATCCCTGGGTCCAATCCCCAGTACCAAAAATGAAGACTGCAAACATAAAGTGTATCAAAATAAGAACATAAAAATTTTATAAAGCAAAATAAAGTTTAAAAGTTTGTGAGCAAAATATGAATGGATAAAGTGAAAACGGCTAATGAACATCAAAAGATGTTTAACATCATTAGTCTGATGACTAACAGAAACAAGAGGCAAACAGAAACAAGGCTATAACATTTTTCATCCATGTATTTGGCAAAATTTAGAGTTTAGTAGCCATGAACACCTCCATGTTCAGATGGGAATATAAATTCTTTGGCATCCAGGGTAAATGTGTAAGTTTGGATAGATTGGTGTTATTTCCTTGAATTTGGGGGAGAACTCATTGCCAAAGGCCACAAAAAAGAAAGAAAGAAAGAAAAAAGTGTGAAAATCTTATCACCATCAGGTTTCCACAGTCAGCTCTCGACCCTCTATAAAACAGAAGGCACAACCTAAAACCACCCTAACCGTAACCTCTCTGTGGCCTGAGGAACACGCGTGGTACCCTGCTTGCAACCTGGGAGTGTGGTCGGCCTTTCAGATGTTGCACAAGTCAGATATACTTTCCAAGTACTCTCTTCTCAACTTCTTTCATCACGCCCTCTTTGAAATGTTCAGGGCTCTGTGTTCCCATCATACAAGGAGTTTCACTCTCGGATTTTGAAATCCAACTTCTACTTGATTCAAAATACATTCATACAACTTTTTCTCAACCTACAAGTTTGGTTTACTGTTTTTTCTCCCCAGGTTTAGCTGACAGATTTGAAGAATACCCTAAACTGAGGGAGCTCATTAGGCTCAAGGACGAGTTAATAGCAAAGTCTAACACTCCTCCTATGTAAGTGCTCTTGTGCGATTACCCCTCCTTCCCAGCTCAGGGTTAAGTGTCATGTGGCTTATTCTCTAACCTTCCTTTTTTTCAGAAGAAAAATGTCAATTTTATAAGTGTCACTGATACTTTCAGGCTCTGGTTTTCTGAGCCTGCCTATGAAATGAAATGAGAAAAAGATGACCTTTGGGGGCTCCAGGAGGCAGGGCAGGCCTGCTGAGCTCCTTGTGCCCCCGTGCTGTCATCAAAGAGCAAAGGTGGACTGCACACTCGTGTTTGTGGGTCCCACCTCTTGTGGATTGGAACACAGGTGTGCCCCATCAGCAGCAGAGACCTACATTGCTTCAGAAGAGGCTTCAGGGTTCATTCTACTCAGATAAAATTTAACAGCTTGATACTTTCAGGTTGAATAATAAAGTTAAAACTGGCAGGGAGGGAGGTTATTTAGATATTTTTTTCAAAAATGAAGAGCTCGTGAGCTCTGTTGCAGTACAGCTACTCAAGAACTCCAGGATTTTTGTAGATTTGATAAATTTTTTTTTTGTGAATGTTATAAAAACTTGAACAATTATTACGTGTATTTTAAGTCATGAATGATGTTGTACAGAACACTTTGGCCACAATCTCGCAAGTTTTTTATGTTGAGTTGCTAGAAGGAGATACAGAATGCCATATCAGATTTAAAACTCCTGAGGATGCTCAAGCAGTAACGAATGCATATACTGAAATTAAAAAAAGCACTGCTGGAAACTCAGGTCTTTTTTGGTGATTGCAAACAGAGGTATTGGCAGAGGATTTTGGTAGATAGACAGTCCAAACTTAATCAGCCTCAGGAAAATAAGAGAGGCACTAAGAAATTAATCACCAAAGCTGAAAAGCTCAGACTGGCAAAGACTCAATAAGCAAGTAAACACATTATATTTTCTGAATATGATTGAAAATATTAAAGTTCACCTCTTAATTTCCCTGGATACTTAGCGATTCTTGGAAAAGCCATTTTTATTATAGTAACACTACATAATAAATGTATTTCTAAAATCTGCATTTAATTAAAAAATACCTTTGTTCTTAAAGTTGTAAATAAGACTTTTTTTCAAGAGGGAAGTACATTGTATCCCACAATTTATCATTAAATACTTTATTTGTTGTAGTTATGTAAGTCAATCTCAAGTGGTTTCATAAATGTTTTGAACATTAAAAAAAAAACTAGTGGGGAGGGGGTGCAAAATACCTATTTAAGATTAACTTGCTGTTTTTCTTCTTAATGTATTAGTTTGAAACTCTGGTGCTGGGCACACATTCTCCTCTAAATTACTTTTCAGCTTTCCAGAAAATTGGCTTTTACCTCTGAGTATTTTTTTTTTCTTTTTAGAAGATAATTCAGGTTTATTGTATGCTTGATGATTTGCTTAAAATGCTTTTAAATGATGTTTTTTCTTATGAAGTAATTTGTTTATTAAAGAAAATTTAGAAAACTTAGGTGAAAAAAACAAGGATAACTTGAAGAAAACAAATTAATTATCACTTTCCTTCCTGAGGTCCCCCCACTTTCCTTCTTTGGTGCTAGGGATTAAACCCAGGACCTTGCCTAGCTGTACCACAGAGCTGAGCCACATCCCCGTCCCCTTAATGACTTGTAGTGTTACCATTCATTTTAACCTTTGAGCAACATGACATTCTCCTCCAAAATGTGTGTAATGTCTTTGAAATTGGAGAATATTTGTTTCATATTTAGCTAACTTTGAATGTTTTCTATTAAACAATTTAATGAAATATATTCTGTTAGTCATTAGAAGAACCACAGATAAGTCTTGGTGTAGGCAGGCCTTATACTCTTAATATCCATTCAGTTAAAAATACTCTTAACATTTAAAGCATATTAGGTTTAAAATACTTTCATACTGTGTGAAAATCACTTTTCAGTAAAGGCTAATAATAATAATGTTAGGTAATGTGAAAAGATTTATTATAAATATTTTACTAATGAATAAACTAACAAAAGAAAATTACATTCGTATTTGGAAGCCATTTTTTAAAGGGACTAACTTAACTGAGGAATAGTTTTTTTAAATTAGCTGAAGCAAGAGGTGAGGATATAGCTGAATTGGTAGAGTTCTTGCCTAGCATGCACAAGGCTCTGGGTTCAAACCCCAGCCCAGCAAAAAAAAAAAAAAAAAAAAAAAAAAAAAAGCTTAAATTAGCTGAAGCACTGAAGAAAAAAAACCAACAACAATGAGGGGCTGGAGTTGTGGTTTAGTGGTAGAGCACTTGCCTAGAATGTGTGAGGCCCTGGGTTCAATTCTCAGCACAACATATAAATAAATGAAAAAATAAAGATCCATCAACATTTAAAAAAAAAAAATTCCTTAGGAAAGTCAGATGATAATAGAAAGGGGGTCAGAGATGCACATCCCAGTATACATTGTCAATATAAGAGTCCAGATATCCATGGGGAATATTTATTTTTGCTTCGTAGTGGTTGCGTCTGTGTTCTAGGAAGACTTTCTGGTAGATAGTTTAATCTCTGTGCTGAAGAAAGAAAATGTGCTATAAAAAAGACTTTGAATAATTATCTTATGATTAATTAATAAGAAATGTTTATTAATATTTAAGAAATTTTATTACCATCTATAAAGTATTTGAAAATCTTTTACTTGTTTGTTTTTTGCCTTAATCACACAGGTATTTACAAGCAGATATAGAAGCCTTTGACATTAGAGAACTGACACCCAAGTTTGACGTGATTCTCCTGGAGCCACCTTTGGAAGAGTATTACAGAGAGACCGGCATCACCGCCAATGAGAGATGCTGGACATGGGATGATGTACGGTGACAGTGTTCATGTTTTGCTGGGTTTTCTGTTTTTCAAATGAATACACATTTATGTGATAGAAAGAAAGACCACATATGCCATCTCTACTTTTGTAGAGATTATAAATACAGGTTTAAAGTATGTATTATGAAGGAGTGTCCAAGGTGCACTGACAGGTAGTACATATCTTTAATTTGATTCTTCTTTTTGAGGCAAAAATTGAGCAATTAGTGAGTGTAAACTGTAGAAGATTCATTCTTGGTTTTAGGGTACTTGGATATATAGCTAGGAAAGCATAAAAGAGTGTAGAATGATTGCTAACTCACTCTACAGGTGGTAAAAGAAGTTAAATAAGCTGTTAACCTGAATTAGTTACACAAGTGTCTTGTTTTATAACTAGTAATGAAAGCCCCACATACCAAGAACGATGCTAGTAGGTAATGCTTGGAGACAGAGACGAACAGGACTTGGTATTCTGCCTTAAAGTTTAACAGGGTGAATGTTGCTCAAAACCAGTGAATGCCTTGCAGTTTCATTGGCTCAGTAATGGAGGACTGCATGAGATGACCTGAGAATAAGGCCCAGCCTAGCAATGTGGGGCATGTGAACTCTGAGAAGATGACAGCAGAACAGTTGAGTTAGCCAGGCAAGGAAGATATTGGACAGGCTTCGACAGAAGGAACTGCAAGAACAAGAGGAATGGAGGCCACCGACTGGCTTGTGGGGTGGAGCAGGTCTTCCTGTGTGTTACTCCTGTTGGACACAGATTGATCTGTTCTAGGAGCTTGACTTTCATTCTGAAAACATTACAAAGTATTTGAAGGTTTTAACCAGTTTAAGAAAGAACATTGGATTAGTGTGTAGAGGTTGAGCTAGAGGCAAAGAAGTAATGGGGAGGACAGTTAGAAGTCTCTTGGAGTAACCTAGTCCTGAGATGATGGGACCTTAAATTAGGGTGATAATAGAAAGGTGATACATTTAGTAAAGTTCAGGAGATACATTTGGTTAAGTGTGTGGGATGAGGGGGTAAGTGAATTTAAGAATAGGAGCAGAATTAGATGGACTTGATAACGTTGAACATGTTGACTTCAGGTGTATGCGGGACATTCAAGTGGAAGAGTATGAAACTTAAAGAACAGATTAATCTGTTTTCAGAAGACAGATGTTGGAGGATAAGCACATTATCTCATGTAAACAGATGAGTTTATTCTAGGATAATGTCACAGATAAGATAAAAGTGGACTAACAGTGAAGTCTAGGGAAACACTTATATTTAAGGGGCACATATAAAAGAAATATAAAAAAGAGATAAGTGAGGAGAACCAGGAGAAAGGGAATGCCCTAGGAACCAAGCAACAGCAGATTTCAAGAAGAGTTAGAAAAGTCTTGTGCAGAAGGTGCAGGGTCAGGAAGGGCTGCAGTCATAGCCTGGTGCCTTGTAGAAAGGTGCTTGGGTTTTTGCGTATTTTTTCTCATTTAATGGTTGTTGTTGTTCTAAATAACACGTTCTTCCTCCTTGAAGTTTTTCCTCTTAGCTTTAATACACTTAGCACTTTTGTTTACGTTTTGGTGGCTCTTAACCACTTTAAAAATGTTTTTTAATTTGTGCTCATTGTTGAAAAATCAGAAAAGTGTATAGAATGTGGTATTACCCAGACAAAAAGATTTAGTAACTGAGAAGTTTTCCATATTGGTTTTACACATTCACATTCCTAGAGGTGTTTAACCATCTCGAGTTCATCATGTTCTCATCAAAACTGAGTAGTAATAAGAAAACACCTTTGTCAGTTTAGTCAAAAGAAAAGAAAATCTAAGCATTGAGTTTTATCACATTTAGGATTCACATTGGGTTGAACTCTGTATTCTCTGGCCAGTCTGTGAGGTTTGGTTTTAAAGGCACAGAGCTTCAGTTACACATAACAGATTCAGCTATTGTGTATGCAAAGTCTTGATTGGAGTTTAATTTCACTGAATTTCAGCTCTGGCTGGTGTATTGAAAAGTTCTGCCTGGCCCCCAGATTGCTAAGCTCTTAATTTTTATGTGGCATTATTCTGAAGAAAGTGCCAGGGGTTACTGTAGAAGGCAGAATGTGAATGAGAAAATTGTTGGTTTTCCACAAGTATTCATTTTCATGTAAGATAGCCAGTAGTGGTCGGTGGGTTTTAACTGGGGGACGTAAGCACTTATTTAAAATACCCACAGGTAGCTTTAGAGAATAATTAATTTACTAACTGTTCTTCTCTAGATATGTTTTCGCCTATCTATAGCTATATCACTTAAAGATATGTAGGAATATATGTGTATATGTACTATGTGTATTTATTCATATTCTTATATTTGATAAAAGGTTATTGTATCATGAGCATATTGGATGAGGAGAGATTTCAAGACTTAAAAAAACATCAGTGTAAAAAGTGTAAAAAATTGGTCTATACATGTGCTATTTTCATTATTACTGTAAAAAAATGTCTTTGATTTAAGAGATGGAATGGTTTTAACTAACATTGATTTGATTGAGGTAGAAGTTAAGACTTTCTTAATAAATGAAACTGATAAATTCTTGCATGAACCATGGTCTCAGAAATTTCTTAACTTTAGAAAAAACCAAAAAGGTAAAGAATGTCATATAAATTTGTTGCTTGCATAATCACTGCTCACAATGTAGATTTAATTATTGAAGGACTTTTTTTTTAATGTACTGTGGCACAACACATTCAAGGTAAACGATAATGGAATGGGGCAGAGCATTTTAGACTTAAAGTAATCATAAGAAAACACTGCATATTGATTTATTGAGAAATATTCTTCTTTTTTTTTTTTTTAAGTTGGAACTGGGGATTGAACTCAGGGACACTTGACCACTAAGCCACACCCCCAGCCTTATTTTCTATTGTATTAGAGACGGAGTCTCACTGAGTTGCTTAGTGCCACGCTTTAGCTGAGGTTGGCTTTGAACTTGCAATTCTCCTGTCTCAGCCTCCGGAGCCACTGGGATTGCAGGGAGAAGTACTCTTATGGATACCAAAATCATAGTACATTCCAAACATTTGTTATTACATTTCATTTTAATTTTGCCCCTAACTCTGGGCTCATTTAACCTCATTCCATTTCATTTTCTTTTTTCTAGTATAATGTTGCTTATGTACCTCTCAACTTCTGTCATATGCCATAATTCTGAAAATGCAATTTCCTGTTTATTCTTTCCATATAAAAATAACTGTGTGTGTGTGTGTGCTTGCACGTGCGTGGGTTGACATATGGGTGTGTGTTGCTTGTATATAAACGAACAAAAAACAGGAGAACAAGTGATTTTTTTTTTTTTTTTTTTTAGGATAAAATTGATTTTCCATCAATTTTATTTCCTAATGGGTACATTTAAAGAACATATCTACTGAGAATTCTGGTACAGGAACAATTGATGGTCATTAGTTTCAATGTGGGATGAATAGGAAACAAAATATTTGTACGTATTTTGTGTATAATATTTCACATATGTTTGGTTTCTTACAGATCATGAAGTTAGAAATTGATGAGATTGCAGCACCCCGGTCATTTATATTTCTCTGGTGTGGTTCTGGGGAGGGATTGGACCTTGGAAGAGTGGTGAGATGCTGTTTTTATAAAATATAAAACAATATATTAGGGGTGGGGTTGTAGCTCAGTGGTAGAGCGCTTGTCTAGCACGTGTGATGCACTGGGTTTAATCCTCAGCACTACATAAAAATAAACAAAAGTTTTGTGTATCTACAACTAAAAAAAATTTTTTTTAAATATACTGTGTAATACATTTGAAGATTAATGTTGTTTTGTTCTTTGTTTCTTGAATAGTTTTAAATATGCTAAAGAAAAAAACAATACCCCTGACTCAGCTAAGGCTTACTGGGGAGAATGCAGCTCTTTCAAAAATGTTTGTCACAGCTGTAAGAACACAATATTTTAGAGATTTGAAGCTCCAAACTATAGTACAAAAATGAGCTTGGTGTCATTTATGGTTCCTTATAATTAGCTAAAAATTGTTGCTCTGAATAGCATGGACTCCTGAATTGTAAATGACAGTCAAACTGGAATAATAACTGCATTTGAAACAATTTGAATGAATAAGAGTGAGAAAGTAATTATAGCACTTTTAATGTATTTTCAGTTATATCAGAGCTTCTCTGTGCCAAAAGAAACACAATAATAAACTGTTCAAGAAGAATAGCACGAGCATTGCAGCTGGGATCAGGAATCAGCTCAACTGCTCCCCAGCACAAAGGCACTTGGTCTTGTGGGTCTTGGGTCTAGACACATGTTATGGGATTAGACTTCCACTCTGAGGACACACTTCCTGTCATGCAACAGACGGTCTCATTCAGCTATGCTGATTTGGGGAGGTGCCTGAAGAGTTTAAGCATGATTATGTGAGATTACAAGTAAGAGTAGACTGAGATAAATCTGTGCTCCAACGCTGAAGCTCCGTGGTCACTCTGTTCTTTTTTAGAAGTAGTGAGCTGAAGCTGGTGGGCAGCATTGCTGCTTCCATCATTTGCTGGTTCCAAGGCTAGACCATGATTGTATTCCAGCTGGGTCTGTGCATTTATTTAGCACTAGTTCCCCAAGGTGCTGTGGAAAAACAAGAAAGTAGAGAGAAAGGAACACTGTTTGCTTCTATAGGCCTAGTGCTATTTACCTTTTCTGGTTCCAATGTCTGACTTTGGTCTTTCCTCCTCACCCTCAAATTCAGCTGATGTGTTTTCATTTTATTTTTAAAAATTTTTCCCTCCAGTTTTGGAGATTTATCCCAGGGTCTCTGCATGCTAGGCAAGTGCTCTACCACTGAGCCACATCCCCAGCCCCAAATTAAGTTGAAAAATGACTAGGAGGGTCTGTCTTTTTCCTTCATGGAGCAGAGCGTCTCATTGGTGAAAGCACAGTTTGGCCAAAATGATTACAATACAATAACTTTCGGTAAATTAGTGGATTAGGTCATTTGGGATTTAGGCCGTGGTGGTATTATGAACTTCCAGTGCAAAACAATTTTTTGTCAGTACTGGGGATTCAACCCAGAGGTGGTCTACCACTGAGCCACATCCCCAGCCTTTTTTATTTTGAGATAGGGTCTTGCCTTGCTGAGGCTGATCTTGAACTTGCATCTTCCTGCTTCAGCCTCACAAGTTGCTGGGATCATAGATGTGCACCACTGTGCCCAGCAAAAACCAAATATTTGCAACAGAAACAAATAACCCCAACCCTCACCCCTGTAGTTTTGGTTTCTATGGTCAGCAAACATTAGATAGAAAATTCCAGAATTTATAAGTTGTCAATTATGCATGTGTTATGTATGCCACCTGCTTGTTCCTCTCTTAGTGACCATCTGGGTTGTCAGGGTGATTTGCATGCAGCATGAAGGGGAAAGACAGACTACATCACATACCTTTTTATTTACATATATTGTTGTAATTTTTCTCTTAATAGTTATTGTTTTTGTAGCTTGGGAGGCTAAGGCAGGAAGATCATGAGTTCGAAGCCAGCCTCTGCCAAAGTGAGGCACTAAGTAACTTAGTGAGACCTTGTCTCTAAATAAAATTCAAAATAGGGATGTGGATCAGTGGTTGAGTGCCCCTGAGTTCAATCCCTGAGTTCAATCCCTGGTACCCCCCCCCCCCACCACCACCAAAACAAAGTTAATCTCTTACTTTGCCTGATTTAAAATTAGTAGGGTTCGGTACTCTCTGGTCTCAGGCACCCACCAGGGGTCTTAGAACATCTCCCTGTGGATAAGAGGGACTCTTATATTGACCTTGATCTTTTGAGATTTTAAAGATTTAAGAAATCTCAGTTTGAGGTCTGTCTCACTTTAGAACATTCCAGGAAGCACATGTTTTGTGTTTTGCTGCATCTTTGTACTAGATCACAGCGCCAGCAGCGCTGTGTTGCTTGGTCCATTGTCCCCCTCTTGACTCTGTGGCAACTGTGTGCTGTGCGTGTTTCAGTTCCAGCCTGCACCTGCTTGTCATGGATTCCCCACTGTTGCTGCAAGCTCATGGGACTCAGCTTCATACCTCTAGTCTCTGAATTGCATGAAGACAGAATAAGGTTTACCCAATGAAGACAGATGCACAGCAGCTTTAGTCTGAACTTTTTGTATGTAGAAATGAGGTTTTATTAGATTCTGATTTGACAGAAGTTAACAGTTTGAATCAGTTTGAAAAGTTTTAACAGTGTTTACATTTGTCAGAAGATAGAAAATGGAGGTGGCAGAAATCAAATTCTCTTTTGAATTATTTTGTGATTACGTAAAAATAAAGGTGGCAGAAACCAAATTATCTTTTGGATTATTTTGTGATTATGTAGGGTCTCTGTTTCCTTTTAGTTAAAACACCTATTGCTGACAATGAAAGGTAATACAGGTACTATATCTAGAATGCTTGGGGTTAGAGTGTTTCTGATTTTTGAGGTTTTGAAATTTTGGACTATTTGCAGACTTAGCAGGTTGAGCATCCTTTATCCCAAAATCAAAATCCAAATGCTGTGAAATCTGAAACCATTTGAGCTGTTGGTACTCAGAAAGTTTTGAATTTTGAAGCATTTCAGGTGAATGCTCACTCTGACTAAACCTTTGGGGCAGAATGCAGTGCTTCAGTGCATGGTGTTTAATAGTGTGTTTTGCATTAGTACAACTCTATTATGGCTCTGGTTTTGAGACTGGTGCTTTGAGACTGGCATTTCTTTCTTCTGTCTGCACTAAGGCAATTACCATGACCTCTGGAACTTAGTGAGCTCTTTAGTGTTGGTTGCTCATTTTGAGTATTGTTTATTTAAGTTCAGGATTTCTGTCTTTAATTCTTATATTTCTAGTGTTTACGCAAGTGGGGTTACAGAAGATGTGAAGATATTTGTTGGATTAAAACCAACAAAAACAATCCTGGGAAGACAAAGACTTTAGATCCCAAGGCTGTTTTCCAGAGAACAAAGGTATGGCTTCTACTGTTTTGTTTTCTTTACTCTCATATTTTTCTCTCAAGCATTTCCAAATCAGTATCTACTGTTCAGTTAATCTGGTGGAAATGTCTCTTTCCTGGGCTCTTCAGCCGTGACGAGTTCTGGGGGTTAAGTGTTATGAGGGATGGTGTAGAAGACACTCTGTGTTTCCTGTCACCCGGACAGACACCCACAACTGTATCCCAAAGGCTCAGAAACAAAGATTGTTTTGGAATTGAGGAATGCTATGAGATATGACTTGGTAGAAAGTGTACTATTGTGCTCTCACTGTGCAGGAACACTGCCTCATGGGGATCAAAGGAACCGTGAAGAGAAGCACAGACGGGGACTTCATTCATGCTAATGTCGACATTGACTTGATTATTACAGAAGAACCTGAGATTGGAAATATAGAAAAACCTGTGGAAATTTTTCATATAATTGAACATTTTTGTCTTGGTAGAAGACGTCTTCATCTGTTTGGAAGAGATAGTACCATTCGACCAGGTAGGACCTCAGTAAAAAAAAAGACTGTGTGATTCCTTGGGATCTGTCTTTCTCCTCTTCAGGCTGGCTCACAGTTGGACCAACACTGACAAATAGCAACTACAATGCAGAGACATACGCCTCCTACTTCAGCGCCCCTAATTCCTACTTGACTGGCTGTACAGAGGAGATTGAGAGACTTCGACCAAAGTCACCTCCTCCCAAATCTAAGTCTGATCGGGGTGGTGGCGCTCCCAGAGGAGGAGGAAGAGGGGGAACTTCGTCTGGCCGTGGTCGAGAAAGAAATCGATCCAACTTCCGAGGAGAAAGGGGCGGCTTTCGGGGAGGTCGAGGAGGAGCACACAGAGGTGGCTTTCCCCCTCGGTAATTTTTAGAGATGTCAGTCCTATTCCTGCCCCTCTAGCCTTTGGGTGGGAGACTTACTTTCAGGACTCGGTCCCTCTCGCCTTTGTTCTGGCTGCTCTGCCTGCCAGGAACAACTTGCAAACTTCCTCACCAGTGCATACCTGCGCCATTTTGTTCGGGGTGAGCAGTCTTCATGCATGCATGTAATTGAGCAGGACGAACAACACAGATAGCTTCGCTTTCAGAGACTGAATTCACTCTGATTTTAAACAGTCACAGAGGCTTCTGCTTTCTGGGAGTGGGTGGACAGTGGGAAGACGCCGTCTGGTATCAGGCTGGAGCTGAAGGGAGTCCATGGCACATCCTTCCTTTGCAACCACAGCAAGTGGGGGACTGCTGCACCCATGGTGGAGTGGGGCACTCGGAACCTATCTGTGGGGGTTCAGCATTTCCTTGTTGAAACAGTAAAAGAAGTGCATACTGCATTTTCTTTCTTTTAAAAAACATTTTAAATAAATTCAAATATAATTTGAGTACTGAAGAAAGTAAGAGACTTTGAACAAAATCCCCTCTTTCCAGGTCCGAATCTGAGAGGTGAGGTGGAGCTGCCAGGCAGGATAAGGAGGAGGTAGGGCGCAGCATGGAAGCTCTTTCTCATGATCTTGGTCCTGTAGCTCCAGGTGACTTCTGCTCTTAAGGCACAAAGCAGGACAGAAATCCAAGTGTCAGGATGTGGCTGTGAGCTGGAACTTACATGGACCTTCAGAGCAGTTTCATATTCCAAAGCCAAGTAAAAGCAGCTGAGGCACCAGTAGAGATGCCTGGTCGCCAGGCGCTGGGCTTGAGCACCTAGGGGTAAGTACTTGGGGGGTGAGGGAATGAAAGCTTAGGCTTATTTTTCTAATGAAACTTTAAATCTTTGGCATTTGAGATTCTATTTTTTGTAAATGGGAATCACAGTTGTTACCAGATGAAACAGGATTGACTTAGAAGGGAACTCTTGTGGTTTCTACATTGTAGTGGCCACTCTGTTCTCATACAAAAGAGGAACTCACACACACCAAGACTGAGCCTGTGAGCTCAGCTCGCTCAGCCTGTTATACTTTCCAGTGCATATCGGTAGCATGTGATTATCCCCTTTCTTGACACAGATGTTGTATCTCCCAATTGGTTAGTGTGTTTGTTGAAATGACATTATAAACTAACTGGAGGTAGAACCAAAGGTCAGCTTGACCTGGGAATGCAGGAGGGAAGTTCCAGGTGCCCCCTGGTGGGCCCTCAGAAGAGCTGGCTTAGGACTCTCCCTTGTTCCATACCTGGGCCTTCAAGAGACGGTGCTGTGGCTGGTGGCCTAGGCCCTGTGAGATCTGTTTCATAATTATTCTTGTGGAGGAGAGGAATGGCTCCTTGGTAGGTTGCCATCATCAGAGAAGAGCAAGAAGGAGAGAGGAGGTGAAGGGAAAGGAATGCAAGCCCTAGAATTGATCCCTTTGAAAGGTAGTCTGGCCTTCTGAACAACAGGCTGGAAGGACGCCTCGGCCCAGCCGCCTTCTCCCTCGGGAAAGCTGGGCATTGGCTTACAGTAGAGCGTTCATGACTCCGGCCTTATCTGATTTTTGATCCTCTTTATATTCACATGTTCCACATTTTCAGTCTAGAAATAAACTTTTAGTTGCTTTTCTTATCAGGGAATTGTGAGAAACAGCTCAGTGCAAGAGGTCAGGGTGCAAGAAATGGGGTCATCATGGGGTCTGACTTGGTGCCTGTTGAGAGCCAGGGCACATAGTGGGGCAGGACTGCAACAGCACTGTTCTGAGTCTTGGTCAATAGCAGGGCCGCCTTTAGGAGCCCTTGGATCCCTGTGGAGAAATTGGACCACATATTTCCTGTGCCAAAGTCCAGCAGGGTTGTGCCAAGGGGACCCGGAGTTACAGTGAGCATCAGTGGCAGGGCTATTGTTATATGAGTGGTACCCATATCAACTGCTAATTTATACCTTTCAGTTAGTTACAGCAGTTGATTTTAAAAGCTGCTGATCTTAACCGCTAACGTGTATCTTTCAGTTCGCTACAGCAGCTTGTTCAAAAACCTAGCCAGGTGCAGTGGTGTACACTTGTCCTAGAAACTGAGGAGGCTGAGCCAGGAGGATCACAAGTTGGAGGCCAGACTGGGCAACTTAGCGAGATCCTGTCTCAAAAAGGACTGGGGATGTAGCTCAGTAGTAGGATACCCCTGGGTTCAGTCCCTAGTACCCCAAAATTTTAAAAAATAAATACTGGGATCAAATTTACTAAAAGGAAGTACGAGAAACCATCACCTTTAAAGTCATAGCATGTAGGTTAAAAGACTTGGCCTTAGTCTGCAGAGCTCTGGAGTGCACTTGGGAGGGAGCGGAAGTCAGTCTGAGCTGTGCTCAGCCCCTTGGAGAACTCATGTTGTGTGGTAGGCTGCAGCCGTCGCCTCTGGAAAGCAGATGTCTGCAGGCCGGTAGTTTGTGGAGGTTTAATGATCCAATCTGCTGCCATTTTATAGGCTTGTGCATTTCAAGGCAACTTCTGGGTTGTTAAAAGGCTCTGATGTAATGCTGTTGCCCATAATTCAGGTGAAACTTAGAACCCTAAGAAGCTAAGCTTACAGTGGTAAATAGGGGCTGAAGAGAGCAGCTAACTTTACTACCGTGAGGCTGACCGAAAGCAAAGTATATGCGTGGTTAAGAATACTGGGGTGGGCGTGCACTTGCCTGCACAGGGCTCAGGGTTCCGTGCCCAACACCACAGGGAAAGAAGACAATATTGCATTTATAGTAACTCCAAATCAAACTTTGGAAAAAAGTAGACACTGATGCCAGATTGTGAGCCAAGCAGCTCCTCATGTCTCACGTCCCAGCCCTTCCCTGACACAGTCGTGATGGCACCAGGGTCTCAGGCCCGCTCCCACTTCTGGCTGCTCTCACTTTTCGTATTCAGTTTGCTGTGGCGCCACACCTGCCTGTCTGCCTTTCTTTGCCTTTGGCTGTGGGGAATGAGTCTGTGGCTTGTGTTACATGAAGACAACAGGCTCCTTTCTCAGCCTGTCCCTGTGCAAGTGGTGGACTGCTTAGTCAGTGGGCCCTCCCCATGGCCTGCTTCACCATGGAGTGGTTGCCAGGGCCTTCAGCCTCTCAGGTCCTTTTCCGTTCTGCTCGGGCTTTCTTGCTGAATAGGGGCCTGTTTTTCTAAAAGGGCTTTCCCTCTGTCTCAAGAACGTTATCTGGGAGGGTGAGGAAACAGTGATCTCCAATGAATTATTAGTTATCAACCATCTTGAACAGAGTCGACTCCTGTGGACTGACCGAATTTTAAAACGTGACTCTTTCCTCAGGATATAAGTTTTTAGTTACTTTCCTCCAAACACAACCTGTCAAGGAGAGCGATTAAACCACATCTATACCTCCTCCTTAATAATAGCCTGAAGGGGAAAAACTGTGTCCTCCTATAAGGGACAGGCACAGTAGACTGGGAGTGTAGAAGGGCTGGGGTGGTGCAGGGTGGCGCCCCGGAGTCTTGGAAAGCTGTGTGGTCAGCACTGATGCCCAAGGAGAGGCGACTGCTAGACAAAGGCTGGGTGGGCCTGGGAAGGTGCTGGCCACAGATGACCATTCACTTCCCAGCAGGGCTGGGAGTAGAGGTCTAGAAGGCCCAGTGTGGGCCTGGGAGGCGCACGGTGCCTCCTCCTGGAGCTTCCAAGTCCAGTTTCAGATCCTTTTCCATGTTGGAAAAACTCAAGCTGGAATTGGACCTGGATTTCTTATTCTATTAATAGGACATATTTCCATCTGGCCAAAGTGAAAAATTAGTGACAGATCTTTCTTATTTACTCTCAGCCAGTTGTCATTAGGTTAGATTTCTGGGACGTGAAGTTCACATAAGCCTTCTTGAGAGAGTGAACTCTTCCTAATGGTTCCTTGACATCTGATCTGGAATTCTTGAGAGGTTCTTGTGGTTAACACTTAAGGCGTTGTGGCCCGTGCTTCTCGTCCCTTAAACTGTTACTTACAGCTAGTAGCTCCATCAATTAAAATATTTGTGATACAGCTAGGAGCTAGATTAATCCCAGCCTTCCTCACCCTCTGCCGATTTAATAAAAGCCCTAGCAAGGAAGATACTAGCAGCAGCAAACATGCACATGGTCTAACAGACAGGAAGCCTAAGTCCTTTGCCTTTACTGGCTCCAGTGATCTGACTTCCTAGGTTGCACAGGCCCCCCCCCCCCCCCCCGTGCTGCCTCCAGCTGGGGCAGGAGCACTGCTTCAGAACACCTCACACTTCAGATGTATTTACCCCGTTTTTGGCAAGTGGCCACTCAGATTGCCCACATTTCCATTTTATGCTGGGGTTGTAATGCACTGAAGAAGCTTGAGATGGCTTTCGCTTTCTCCCACTGACAGGGTGACCAGCTCCCATCAGCTCTCAGCAGCTGCTGTTCCCAGGGCATCTGGCAGGCAGGCAGGCATGTCCTGGACACGGGTTGCAGAGCTTGCAGTGCTTCTTAAACCAAACCATTGAGTCACCTGAAGCACACCAGCTGCAGGCCTGGGGGCTCAGCCTGGCAGTGTCTTCGCTACTCTACTGGCCTCTGCAGCCTTTGCCAGCTGATGATGAACAGCCTGCTGAGCCATGTAGTCTGCACTACCTTGGCTGCCTACGGCCTGCTCCAAGTGTGCGTGGGCTGATAACAGACAGGGTCAGGTCTGCCACAGAAATGTTCATGGGCACTGCAGCTCTTGGAACACGACGTGTTCCGCTCTCCACCAGCGTTATACCTGTTGCTGGTTGGGACGGATGCTCAAGGCCCCTCTCAGCCACTCCTGGCATGACGTTTCATCAGCGTGGATCAGCTTCCTGTGGGATCAATCAATCAACTTCCGGTGGGATCAACTTCTGCTTACTGTACCCACAGGACACAGTCAAGGACCTTCAAAAGTGCCTTTTTAAGTATGCTGTCTGACATTTCCTAGGTTTATTGCCTAACAATCCTCAACCCTGATAAAAAGACAATTTTGCTACCTGGTTTGCTTAGTGCTTCATCTGGGTTTTTTTTTTTTTTATTTCCAAATACATAAAAGTGATTCTACACATTGAATTTTTATATGAAGTGATTTATTGATACTGGTAAAGATCCATTATATACAGGTAGAAACTGCCAAAATTGTACAAAGAACCATTAAGAATATTAATACAGTTTTAAGACAAAACAACTGGAAAATAGTTTAAACATAGATAGTATGTAATTATGAAAAAAAGTAGAGCATACATTGTTCTACTAGATAGAATCCACATTATTAAAATCTGCAAATCTTAATTGAAAAGTGTGTTCAATGGAGCTATGTGGTTTTAAAAAATTAGGTATAATGTAAAAATTAAGTTTTTCCCCCTCACTGGAAATAGGAGAGGAACCAATACAATCTTTTACCCCAAATCTATACAGTTTGAAAAATAAGTTATATATCTAGCACAAAGGAAATTGAGAATGTCATGTTCTGTAAACTCTGCTCTTTATCAAATGCAAACTCCATCAGTTTTAAAAATTAAAAACTGCAGTCAGAAATAGGCTCTTCCCTTCATGACACGAGGGCACCTTCTCAGATCCCCCCATTGCGTCCCTGCAGGGTGGCGGGCCTCAGAGTGAGCCTGCTGCTTTCTAGAAAAGTGGGCGCCCAGAGACCGCTTCCCCACAAGTGCAGCACCCAGCGCTGGCTAGCTGAGCAGCTGGCATATCTCCTTGTGAACACAGCAGAGGAAATCCACGTAGGAGGACCCTCCGTGCAGCCCCCGGTCCTCCACCAGGAGCTGTCGGAAAACCATCTCTGGCTGCTCCCGCTGCTTCACTATGGTGAGCTGGAAGAAAATAACAGCAGCTGGTTAGGGGCCGTCCCAGGGCTCTGCCTGGCTACGTGGGAGGCCAGGACACGGCTGGAAATGGCAGTGATGAGATGGAGGTTCCTCACAGGCCTGGGGCCCGTGGAGAGTTTTCCCATGGGGGTGAGCAGTGCTTGGCGTCAAGGCCTTTCAGCCCAGGTCTGAGTTGGAGCTGGCTAGCCTGTGAGTGGCCACAGCTTTAGGAGGCAGGGGCTCCTAGACAGAAACACAACCACGCCTTTGACTTTAAGCCAGTGTGACCCAGTGAGGTGCAGAACAGAATGGGGCAGCTGGCTGGTGGCAGATGTAACAGCAACGAGGTGAGGGAGACCGGACAGGAAGAGGACACAGGAGGCTGGGTGTGGGGCAGTGGAGGACAGAGTGGGTGTGAGAGGCACAAGAGGCTATTCCTGCTTGGCCCAGTGCTTCAAGGCTGTGCTGCCCACGACAGGCCACAGCCCCGAGTGCGTCTGAGCCATGGAAGACAACATAGAAAGGAAAATGTGGAGAACCTCTGCAGTGGTTCACGTGACTCCCCACTCCCCGGAAATGAAATGGCTGTGCCTGCACAGAGGGCCTCCGGGGTTCCCCTCTGGTGAGAGCACGGAGGGCTGCAAGTGGGGCAGGAAAGAGTGCCTCTAGGCTGGGGCCCCAGCCTATCCACCCTGGCCTCATCTACTGTTGGAAAGAAGGATTCTTCTGACCTGCTGCTTTGACCTGTGCCTGAGGCTGATAAGCTTTAAGCTGCTCCTGGCCTGTAATAACCATCAATAGCATACATCAACTGCCCTGCCTGCCCCACCCTGATGGCTCCCTGTGGATCTGGTTCCATTTTGTTCCATTCAAACTTGTTTCTCTGGTAAAGTCTTTTTTTGAGGGGATGGGGGCAAGTACCAGGGATTGAACTCAGGGGCACCCAACTACTGAGCCACATGCCCAGCCCTATTTTGTATTTTATTTAGAGACAGGGTCTCACTGAGTTGCTTAGCGCCTCTCTTTGGCTGAGGTTGGCTTTGAACTCGGACTCTTCCTTCTTCAGCCTCCTAAACCACTGGGATTACAGGTGTGCCCCACTGTGCCCAGCTTCTTATTCAGGCGTGTGTGTGTGTGTGTGTGTGTGTGTGTGTTGCTGAGGAGTGAACCCAGGGTTTTGTGTACCACCAACTGAGCTATATCTCCAGCCCTCACTTTTCACTCTCTAAAAGCATCTTTTCATTTCTTCTGAGTGACTGTCAAATGTCATGGAAGAGAGCAGCCCTGGGTGCATGGCGTGATGTGAGCAGCTACTTCTGGCCCTGTGTCATGGCTGTTGGGTCGGTGTGGGACCTGCAGTGGCGCTGCGACTGCTGTGTGTACACGGGAGGCCACACTGGTGCACAGCCTCACTGCTGCAGCTGGGCAGGCTGCCCTTATGGAGACTTCTCCAGAGGGATTTTAAGAGCTGCCTCCTGAGGGGCCCGGGGCCCTGGCCACTTTCCTTGTGTGCTTTGCCCACCTGCTCCCCATGCCACTGTGACTGCCAGGCTGGGCAGCAGCAGTGTGGTCCAGCCTCGACCGCGCAACTTAAGACGGAGGGCGAAAATGGGACCTGGTGGAGAGAGGGGCCTCAGGGCCAAGGTCTTAAAACTCACTGTCTATATGGAGACTAGCGGAGGAGCTGGTGTTAGTTGTCTTGGTGGGTATTTACTTTTGCTTTGGGTTCTCACAGGGTGCCCACGGCACAACTTCCTCTGGGGAAATGCCTGGCCAAGGACTGAGGGGGCAGAGAGCACCAGGATCGAACTTCCCCTGCTCCAGCCCAGAGGCTCTGCAAAGGTGAACTGCCCATTCTTGTGCGGGTCTCAGGAAGTGGTGGGTGGGCTCCTCAAGGGCTCACCCCCACAACAAGGGCAACACTGGGTGTACAGGAGGGACCCATTGTTTTTCCTTCTGTGTGAGACTACTGGGGTACATGGTCTTATGGAGTGGGACAGAATGTGGAAATGGTCACACGGGCCTCCCCAGCTTTCTCATGTGCCCTCTCAGTAGAAGAAATGGCTCACTCAAGTAGCCCAAATGTGACCACCTCAGCCACCTCCAGGTCCTGTCCTTAAAACAAACCACAGGAGGTGCGATGGGCCAATGTTCACCCAGATGCACGCTGGAGGCAGCAGGTGTTCATGAGTTCAGTTTACCTCAGTTCCACCCCTTTATCTAAGAAAAAAAAATCAAATATCATGAATTTCTGAATGGTACTCCTCTAATGACACCCAAGGAAAGATCACATCAGGCCTGGCAAGGGCACCTGTGGCCACCATGCCTCGAGGAACTGTGGGGCATGTGTCTGACAAGCAGGTCGCTATGAAGATCATGTTATGAAACTATAGAACATGCACTTCCAGGAGTCTTTAATGGGATAAATAAAAGCTTGAGGAAAGGACAGAGCTGTCTCCTACCTTCATGGCATACGGCCTCTTCTGCTGGATAACACCCATTATCATCCGGAGCTGTTGAGAGTGTGGGCTTCCCACCTCAGGCAGCACAGTCTGCATTCAAGAAAACCAAGGTTCAGTACAATTCATAATGCTTCCAGCAACAGGAGACTATGAGAACATTGAAAAACATGGTTCATTTACCTGAAAACTGAAAGTGTGGGAAAGAAATGAATGAAAGACTACTTGTTGGTGGGCAGACATTCTTGCCAATTAACCAATGTCTCTGTCTTTTCAGAATAAAAATCCTTCTCTGGAGTTGACATAGGCACATTCCTGGTGACACACGACTGTGCTTTATTAAAGGACACCTGGGGCTGTGTCCCACAAGGGTCAGTGTCTTCTCACGTGTGTATTTCAAGGCTGTATTGAGAGCAGAAGATGTACCCTGTGCCTGCAGAGGGTTGCTGGGGAGTCTCTGCCTCAAAGCCACTGTTCCCGCACTGCAGCCAGCCCCAAGCACTTGCTTCTCCAGGGTGTATGGCCTCTGAGGTCCCCAGAAGTCTGGCTGTAGTTTAGGGGACAGTCCAGCTGCATCTGGCCTCGGAGGCATGGAATTCCTCGGTTCCCCCAATTAAGACTTTAAGCACTCAGGCTTCCTTCTCAGATGCCCAGGCCCCAGGAGTCAGCTGGAAGTAGCAGGAATCTCACTGCAGAGCCTCAAGGCCTGGGAGAAGCTTCTGCCTTCATGTCTTCATGCTCTGGTGCACCCTGCATGTGCCCTCAACCTCATGATGGGTCCTGCTACCCAAATTCTCTAAGTCTGCTTCCTGTGTATGTCTCAAGGTGCCCACTCCTCTAAAACAAAAGGGCCTGCCTTTGGTCTTAGTTTTGTTTCATTGCTTGAAGAAGGTGAAAAAGAGGTGTGTTGGTAGAAGCACAAACCCACCAACCTGCCATTCTGGTGGAGTGACTGGCTGTTTTGCAAATGTGTTCTTTTGGCTCTGAGCCAGTACATCATGATATGAGAATCTTCTTAAATTTTATAAACCTCCAGGAGGTCATTCTTGCCTACTGAATTTTAATTTTGTTTCATATTTTTTGAAAATTTCAATTCTAACCATTTCTTACTTTAAGCCACAGGCAGGCAGACTACTATTTATAAATGACCAATCTTTTGGTGAGACCTGGACACCCGCCATTTGAATATACATTTGTGTGGATAGACAGCAGCTCTCTGCATTGACCACCTGCCTTGGTAGCTCTGGATTTTACTCCTGCCCCTTCATTCAAGATGCTCTAGATACCTAAACTATACATTCAGACCAGAAATTAGGTGTGACGCCCAGAATTAAGCTATCCCACCACCGTAGGCGAGGGTCTTGGAACCCCGCGCCACAGAGTGGACAATCGAGCCACAGCGGCAGCGCCACAGTGTGAGCAGCTCACAGCAAGTCTAGACTCTCCAACAAACTGTGGCTGCCGGTTTTCCTAAGACACTTTCAAGATATATATGAATTTGTTCCCACATCAAACCCACAATTCCTTCTGTTATGATTGCTACAGAAGGGGAGAAATCTGTTTTCGTGAGAGTATTGCTTTGCAAATCACTATCTGATACAGTCTGAGTTGAGCACCTGTGACGATTCTGACCACAGTGCTCAGCTCAGGACCATGATGGAAGGGGACCTAAGCTCAAGAGCTGCCCTGGGCCACCTCTGCCACACACCACCTGAGGAAA